CGAACTAGCTACTCCGTGCCGCGTGTAGCCGCGCGGCACGGGGTTCGAACTAGCCGGGATTTAAAAATGGCGGTGCCCGGCTTATGCCAATGAAACCCCGAGGAGTACAGCTAGTTCGGATTAGGAAGTCTAATCCGAACTAGCTACTCCGTGCCGCGTGTAGCCGCGCGGCACGGGGTTCGAACTGCCGGCATTTAAAAATGGCGCCGGCCGGCTTTATGCAAATGAAGCCCGGGAAATTCAAATCCCGGGCTTCATTTGCAAGTGCGGTATGCCTACATTACCCTCCTAGTTCGAATTAGGAGGGTAGTGTAGACATACCCTTCCAGAATTCTGCTGACTTTAGCAACTGCCTGATGGTCAGTAGTTTTTCCACTTATGCGTCCTAAATTGTTTCCTGCATAGTTTTCTGAATTGAAAGTCACTGGCATCTCCAACCCTTTTTATGTTTATTAAATCACTAATTTTTTACTTAAAAAAAATCAAAACTGCAGCTTCATTAAATAGTTAAAAATAGGCTTATTTACACAGAATGTACGTGATATTAAATATGTATCCGCTGTAGGATCCGATTATGATTATGTATTTTAACTGTCACTGAAACATGTGTGGAGGAACCATGAAATTGTGACTCAGCAACCGCATATTTCCTGAGGCAATTACACATGGCAAGACACAGTAATTGCTACAACCCTTTTCAGGAGGCATTTTACTCCCATCATGTGACCAGCCAGTTCCACAGGACAGCACAGGCAGTGCTGGGGGGATAAAGCATGGGTCTACCTATACCTCTCCTTGCTGCCCTTTGCCTTCTGCGGGGTGGGGGAGTGGTGTCGGCTACATAATCCATGTGCTCCCCTGCCCACAACTCCTGGAACTAAGATATAGGGATCTTCGAATATAAGTTGTGGAAGGAAGGTGAAAGTTTCTGACTCTCTTGCAAGGCTGCATTAGGACTAGTCACAATCTAGCCCTCCAATGAGCAGATTTTACCTACATGAATAGCTCCACTGACTTCAACAGGAATAAAAGCGGTAGGAACAGGTCCGAAAAACTGGTCTTTGACAGAGCTTGGTTCTATGAAATCAGTGTCCCACACACAATGAGGTATCTGTCACTGTGCATGAATTACTATATAGAAGTGAGTAACTGCAGGACCATTCCTGTAGCTCCCTAGTGGAGATAAATAGCCTAACTAGCAGGAATAAGGATAAAGTCAGACTGAAAGCAGGAGCAGTCTGGGGGAAGAGGGTGGAGGGAGGGTGTAGGAGCAAGCTGGGGGTGCAGGGTCTTGGCAAGGGTAGGAAACATTACTGGTTCTGCTACAAGAGAGCCCCTCTGAAGGGAAGAGCTAAATTTGCTTATAGGTGCCTATAATAACTACTAGTATTGCACAATGTATTCATTTTGTTGGATTAAAAATTGTCTAGGTCCAGTTTTGGGACTTGAGTCACAGTGAAATCAGTGGGTGAAATTTACCCCTTTGCTGGCCCATTGAAATCTAAGCTTGGAAGCAGTGGTGTGACCACGGGTGGGTCTGAGTGGGCCATGGCCCACCCACTTTGCATTCAGGCCCATTAATGAAAGCTCCCATGGCTCTCCTTGTGCCCCAGCTCTTGTCTTGATCCACCAGCCTGGTCTGCGCTCTAGCCAGGGGCTGGGATGGGGTGTGGAGTCTAACCTCACTTCACCGGGAACTGCTGCTTGAGAGCAGAATCAGGGTACTGGAGCTTACCTGCTCTGCCTCGCCCTCTGGCCAGGAAGCAGGGGATGATCCTGCTCCATCCGATGCTGTGCCTGGGGCTTAACCCCTGCTCCCATCATAGCCTATCCACCTGAAGTTGGGGCCCACCCAACTGGACTCTGCTGGATATGCCATCACTTGGAAGGCTTAAACTTTTATATGTAAATGTTGATTTCAACATGCACATATATTGTCAATAGGCAAAAGTGAACCTGGGACCTCTGGAGCTTAATGCATGAGCCGCCACAGTTTGAGCTAAAAGCCAGCTGGCTCTCAGCTAAGGCTGTAGAACACACTCATTATTCTCTCTGCAAGTGGTCCAACTGCCACTACATGGAACAATGAACCACGCCTAGAAGGGATGTGGGTTACATACACACGCAAACTGATGACAAATAATTCCATCGCTAATTAGCATTTACAATTGGCAAAGCAAGCAAAATGCTGCTTGACAATGTAGAGTCAAAATCCAGTGATGTGGCCTTTTTCAATGTGCTGGTTACGAATGGATCAGGGAACAAATTGTAGAAATGGGCCCAATGTGTTGGTTTAAGGATATTACTTGGCATAATTATGACAGGCGATGTTAACAATTTGGGGCTTGTAAAGCTTCCTCTCTTTGAATCTCAGCATGCCGTGAAATAATTGTCTGAACTCACCACAATTCCCTGCAACTGTGAAAATTTAAAATAGGGAAAAATCTAAAAAATGCTTAAGAAGAAACATTGTTATTGTCTGTCAACATTATACTGCAAAAATATGAACATAAAACCCAAATTCTCCCACTATGCTCACATGTAAGCATTCGCACTTCTACTTCTTGGCATATAGTGGAACTAACGTGGTGGGACTTACATGGTGCATGGGCTTTGTCTTGAATATCTGCACAGGAGTGAATGTCGCCCCATTAGAATACGGAGGTGAGTAAGGGCTGTAGGAGCCTGACTCCTGTATTTTACGTATTTAGAAACCACACTGTGAAATAGCCCTTTCTTCTCGGGAATAAATACACCACAATTTCAGATTTTTGAAAAGGGACACAAGTCCTGTCAGAGTCAGTGAGCATAAGATGCTAGCAGTATTGTCCTCACCCACAGCAGCTTGTTTCAAAAGAGATGAGCTGCAGGATTCTGTTGTTTTTTTAATGAAATACTAACTATAGCAAGTGCACGACTGAGAATGGCAGCACTGTTCTCAGATCTCTTCTGCAGTTAAATAAAATTGATCTCCCTAACGAGAGCTAAAAATAGAAAGCGGGCAGGGAGGGGGAAGAACTGACAATGACTTTTCATATTGCTCCCTGCAGGCTCCTTAAATGAGAGTGAATATGACCTTCTTGCAGCACTGTCCCAGAGTGCACAATAATGAGCGATATTTCACATTTCACTGCCCCAGAACAGCTATTGATTTATTACCCAGTTAGCTAGAGGATTCATTTACATGTTTCCATTTATAATGCTGCCGCAGCAAGAGGAAAGGACAATTCTTTGTTTTCCTTTTATTCAGCAGTTTGGAAGTGTATAGCATTGATGCCGGGAATAATGGGCTATAATATATGGACTGATAATCCCCATTTGTGGGGGGAAACCCATATAAGAGGACTTCCCTGGATGCCACAATTGATTTCATTCACCTTGTAGCTTCTTCCCACTTCTTTCAAGTCTGTTCATTGATTAATTCTCTAAATGAACAATCTCCACAGAGCCACCCTTAGAATTCTAGTGTCTTTTGCAATCTCAAAATTGACTTGACCCTAGCTGGGGCTAGGTCTCTTGAGACCAAAATTACCATGCAGGTTTGGCCCCACTGTATTTGTTGCAAGAAACTCTTAGAACTTGCTCAACCACATTTATTCCTGCCCTTCTATAGTACAATGTATAACTCCCCACACACACACACAATTCTCCCTCCTAGATAAAAAGCAAACCAGTGCAATGAGAATGTTTGGTATAATCATCCTCTGGCTCTGGCATGAGAGGAGAATGCCCTGACAGTCTGCATTTTAGACTGTAAACTCCTGGGAGCATGGCCCATATCTTTGTGTTGTGCACTGCACCAAGCACACAGACGAAAGAAATAACAGTTATGCATATAGTTAAAATTCATCTGGAGCAGAGAACCAGTGCCTGGCCTACGCATTATGTAATCCCTATGTAAAACCTTGGATTTAAGCTGTATATAAAACTTGTGCTGGTCTTTGCACAGCACTGAATTGCATCCTTAGTTATTCATCTCCACGCTGCTTCCAATCTGTTTAAGCTGACACTTGTCCATACCAGAGGGCCACAAAACTTACCTGGTCCTAGTTTAGAAACTGCATAAAGGAGGTCATAGTTGATGACGGGTGTTGCATCATCTATGGGCTGCCACCCTACAGGAGGGGAGGCTGGAGGCGAGATGAGAAACTGTTTTGCAGGCTGTGGAGGAGCCAAATGAAGCTTGTCCCCATCTGTCTCAGAGTTCTGGACCTTTGGAACAGAGCAGAAACACAGATTATTGTAGCATCGGGCATGTGACTGGAACAATGATTAGAATTCTAAGAGCAGATACTGCTGTTTGTTTGGTAGCGTATGGGAAATGAGTTGGGGCGCCTCAGTCAACTGTCCTGGGCGCAGCTGTTAATTCACAAAGGTCACAGCCACAACCAGCACTCATTAGCAGTCTCTGCAGAGAGGCCAAGGGTTGCATGGGTCTGGAAACAGAACCATCATCTCATGCCTAGGGGTGGTTCCTCCACGGCAGGCACATTCATAGAGCCCTGCAAATCCGTGGATATCCGCAAGCATCCATATCAGTGCCGATATCCATGGCTCATTTTTGTGGATACGGATGTGGATGCCAATACAAATTTTGTATCCATGCAGGGCTCTAAGCATTAGGTGCAGCTGTGTGAGCAAGCCTGGAGTGCCTCTGCTCCCCTCCCCCATCCGTAGCTAAATGCAGTGCTTCAGGCTCCAGAGCTCTTCATGAATAGATTTCAAGGCCAGCAGGAACTATTGTGACCATCTAAGTCTGACATTTTGCATCACGTAGGCTGTGGAATTTAACCCAATCATTCATCAAACTCAGAACTTCCAAATAAGACAGAGTGTATCTTTTGGAAAGACATCTAATCTAGTCATAATTGAAAGGTTGCGAGTGATGAAGAATTCACCAACTTCTAGGCAAATTGTTCAAATGGCTAATTATACTCACTGTAAAAAAATGGTTTATTATTTCGAGACTGAATTCCTCTAGTTCTAGTGAGTGAAAGACAAAACTTCTTTATGCCTTTGACTGCTAGATTACATGGCTTTGTTCAGTTGGAAACTTCCTCCCCCCGAGGTACTGTAATAGAATAAAGGGGGTCTCTTGTGGGCCCATCCTCTTAGTAGGTTTCAGAACTCTGCAGGGAACTTCAGGCTTACTGGGTACTCACTGGGGCAGGTGTGGCTTAGACTCAGTATTGAACACAAGGAAGGCGAAGGTCTGAGTGGCCTTCTAGAAGAGAGAGTTAGGGCTGGGACAGGCGAGTGCTAAGCAGAAGGGGGGAGGGTACATGTACTATTATTTTGGAACTTCCAGTTAATAAATCAGAATGCTGGGGGATGATATTTGGACTCCAAAAAGAGGGCACAGCTTTAGTCTGGGATAGGGATGTAAGTGACTAATCGACTAGTTGAGTATCCGATAAGCAAAAGACACTAGTTGACTAGTTGTTCCCCCCACCACCTTGTTGTCTCTATCAGAAAGAGGCAGCAAGTGGGGGAAAGAGGAGGAGATGCTGGGGGGAGCTGGCTTAAAAGCCGGTTCCCCCCGGCTCCAGCTCAGTGGGATGGGGCAGGGGCAGAGCAGCAGCATTCTACCTTTGAAATGTACAGAGTCCCCGCTGATGCTCTTGTACATTTCAAAGCAGAGGTGCCATATGGAGCCTGGGACCAGTGGGGAACTCAGAGTCCCCCGCTGGCCTCAGACTTCATGCAGTGTTTCAGTCTTTTGAAATGCACAAGAGCCCCTGCTGGGGCTCTTGCACATTTCAAAGGTGGACCACCGCAGGGCACTTCTGCCTTTGAAATGTAGCAACAGCCAGGTAGGCTCTTGCTACATTTCAAAGCAGAAGCACCCTTATCGACTAATCGAATAGTCAACGGAAATTCCATCGACTATTCTCTTAGTTGGTTAATCTAATTTTAACATCCCTAATCTGGGACTCAGGAAACTCAAACAGTTTACCTGAGCCTTTTATGAGTGCTTCAAACACAGGATATGCTAATCCGTGCTTCATTTGCATAAGCTTTTGAGGAAAAAGGGTGCAGTATAGCCAGGAACACATTCTGCTCTCAAGTATACCAGTGTAAATCCAAGGTAATGCTACTGACTCCAGAGGAATTGATCCCGAATTACACAGTTGTAACTAAGGCTAGGTCTAGACTACAAGCTATTTCCACTTTTTTTTTTTCCGAAGAGGCTTTTCTGCCATTTGTCCCTGTCTAGACTGAGCCAAATGGAGGAAAAGCCTCCTCTTTTGGTGGAGCCCTTATGCCTCGTGAAACGAGGTATAGAGGGCTCCCCAAAAGAGCATGTTTGCTCTTCCGCCAAAAAACGCAGAGAGCAAACGCGTTCCTTCGATGTGGCGGGGGTTTTGCGAGATCCCGCCAAAACCCCATAGTCTACACGTAGCCTAAGAGAAACACTTGTCCCATTTACTTCAAAATAAATAAATATAGCTATTATTTTCATCCAATTCTATAAGACAATGTGTCTTCAGTAACACAATAACTTAGAGCAGCCATCCATTAACACGTATGGAGAGAAAGATTTTCATGCCAAAAAGTTCTTACCTGTGCAAAGTAAAGCTTTAACTTCTTCCCTCTGAACTGTGTTTCATGCAGCTCTATTCTGGCCCGAGCAGCTGACTTAGGACTGCTGAAGTTTATCCGCACACGTCTGAAGCTTTTAAACAATTGGAATGTCACACAGTCGTCATAGGCACGGAACAAGCCCTCAAATTTCTCCTGTAAAAAATGAAAAGACTTTAGCTGTGGTAGGGGGAAACTGAAGTTCTATGAAACATTGTCTTATAGAAAGCAGGTAACAAAATCAGAGAGTGGTTTGATTAAGAGCTTGCATGGATGATCACAGAGCACAAGTGTGATGGTTATGGACATTTTTAGAAGTCAGGATGAAAGGGAGAAATCATTAAATCTAGGGCATGACCGCGACTTCATTTACATGAGTGTACATAGTAATAATTTAAATGTTAGTGTAAGTGAGAGGTAAATCATGCCCACAGTAACTTAACTGAAGTCTCGGACATAATTTTGTATCCAAAATGACTTTGTTTCTCCCGTTTCAGTACAATTATCAAGAACAGGGCATAGTCTGAAATTTGGAACATGAAAAATGCCTCCTTGTCAATTAAACACATCTCCCCAGATTTATTTTAAATCCTTTTCGCTGCATATCTTGGGAAGGTGAAGGGTAAGGAAAAATTCATAACCTCTCAGGAAACTGAGCTTTGATCCAGACTCCAGTGGCCAGGTTTGGTGTGGGTCTAGAGAACAAAGTAATTCGTTCAAAAAATGAGGTTTACGTGGCTTTCGACAAAGGGCGGAGGTTCGCCAAAAAAGCCGCATCTAAACTACTTTCACTTTCAAAAGCTCTGCTTTCGAAAGTGAGATTGGAAGAAGATATCCTCTTTCGAATCTTCCCTGTAGTCTAGACATAGCCTAGTAATTTCCTTTCCAGCCCTGTGCTGAAGCATGACTTTGCAGCTTGTTCTTTCGGATTTGTTTAGCTGTTACCCATGACATCCACTCAGCCACTCACAGGCAGTGATTCCAAAATGATACATCCTGGGTATTGTGTTAAAAATGTGAACTATTCCACATATATGCAAATTACAGCCTCGTTATTGGTACGTAGGGTCAATCCAAAGCCCACTGAAGTTAATAGTCTTTCCATTGATTTTCCTTCCGTATTTATGCATGACTTGTCCAGTGTTCCCTCTAATTTTTTCCACCCATGGATGGAATACATTTTATTATATGCACCAAGGCATGTACAAATGTGCACCACCATGCTCCTGAATGTGGGTGCTCTGCTAATCAACTGGGTGGCACCTGAATCTCTCCTGGGTGGCCACCCAAGTACTCAGCTTACCGGAACACTGGTCTCATTTTATCTTCCTACTGTAAATAGTTTATGTCTATAGAGTATTGCCTGTTTAATTGTCTGGTTTTGCAACTTTGATGAATTGTAAAAAATTACTTTGTTCAATATCCCAAAAAGAATGTGGCATTTGGCAACATACAAGTTGTAAATTGGCATTTGTGGTTTTTTATTGCCTGCTTTCTCATATAAAATCAATTTAAAAACAATCAAAAGACAGCACTTTAGTGAGCCATCCAAACTGATTATCAGAACAATAACTGTCAATTTCATGGTACTGCTTTAAATTAATCACCAATTTAATAGAAAAGCAATGTATCCTGTGTATCTCAGTATAGTTGGATTTTTATAGCCCACTTTGACATAACACAAAATGATGGATAGCAAAGTGAAACAGATTTATGCTGGGGTGAAGTTAACCTGCTATGCACATAAATTTTTTTAAAAAATGGACACGTTTATAGTGTCTTTGACAAGTAAGTAATTTACTGGGTTCTGCATTTTATCACATCTGTAATTCTGCTAGGCCTTTATTTCGTGCAGGTCAGAACAAAATTTGCCACCTCTGATATTTTATTGCTACTTCCAGGTACAACCCATATTACCCAAAACAAGTCGGTATGAAACAGAAAGACATATTGGCTGCATTTAGACTGGCAAGTTTTTCCGCAAAAGCAGGTTCTTTTGCAGAAAAACTTGCCAGCTGTCTACACTGGCTGCTTGAATTTGCGCAAGAACACTGACGATCTGTTTTTTTGCTCAACAACTTTGGTCTCCCTCCCTTTTTTTTCCCCTTCAACAGAATTATTTCTGTGGGTTTTTTTTGGGGGGGGGCAGTGTTTGGTATTTTTGTTTCAATCATCTGGCAACCCTAGTCAAGAGGCCTGTAATGGATAGGAGAAGTGTTGACCCGCACCTGGTGACTAAGGGGTTAAACTCAGGTAGCAAGAAGAACCATGGGCATATGGTGCTGAAATTTGAATTGTATAAGATTCCTTGCCTGCTTTCTTTGTGTGGGTGACTTAAACCAGGAGATGAGAGGCAGAGAATGATTTAAACCCAGGTAGGACTACCATACCTCTAAGGGGCATGACCATACCTCCAAGGAATTCATGGCATGGAAGAGGACTGAACATAGAGAAGACTGGAAGTAAGTCAAGGGAAAAAAAGTGAATCAAGTCACGTTTAGGGTATTTTTTTCTTTATTTTGTAGTTTGGTTTGAACTGCTCTGTGTGAATCTATGTCTCTCCTCCTCATTTACCATCTAAGCACTGATTCTAGAGATTTTCTCTGTGTTTTTAATTTGTTTTCCTTAGTTCTGTAACATCTAGCAACCAAGTATATCTTTGTTTTATAATAAAAAATAATTTTTTTGAGGTGATGATTTGATTCTTGTGTCCTAGAAGTTACAGGAGGTCTGTGTGTGTGTGTATCAGCATACCTTAGACTCAGAGATCAGCTCAGGGGTGGGCAAAAGAGCCTCAGCGGGCTGGATTCGGCCCGCCAAGTGAATGGATCCGGCCCATAGAGGCCCTGCTGCTCCCCCGCCCCCAGGCCAATTAGGACCTGGGAGCAGGGGAACACGCAAAGCCTTCTCCTCTCTGCCCCCGCCTTGCGATCAGCGCGTGGCTCTTCAATTGGCCTGGGGGTGGGAGAGCATGCCAAGCCTCTTCCAGGGCATGGGTGCCTAGTGGGAAGGGGGGGCAAAGGGGATCTCCCATCCCCAGACTAATCATGGTCTGTGGGTGGGATAGGCCCACCCTTACCTGTTTAGGCCCCACCCCTTCTGGGGTGGCCCGGGGCTACTTCCAAAATTTTGGAAGTGGCCCCCAGACAAAAATTATTGCCCACCCCTGGGTCAGCTACTAGAGACTGCAGCTTGTTTTTCTCTTGTCTTTTTTCAAGCTCTCTTGTGGCAGAAGATCTTGGGTTACCCGGGGGGTGGGTTGAAGTGTTTGTCCCCAGTTTTAAGGATAAAAATCACTTGATGGTGGCAGCCACCCCCTAAAATGTGTGTATTGTAGTTCTGGGGAAAGTTTTCATAACCAGTGCCCGTAGTGGCAAGGTATATTTAAAGTCTTTGCTGGGCCCCTCCTTCTGCACTCAGAGTGCCAGAGTGGGGAACAGCTGACAGGGCCCTGCAGCATGGCGGAGTGTGACTGCGGGGGGGGTGACAAACGGCTAGAGGTGTACCAGTAACATTTGCATATTTGTATATTCGTTATTTGCACAATGAATATGCAAATAGAATGTCACCGATCTGCCCAAAGTTTGAGAGTGGGTTTGCCGGTCTGCGTTTTAAAAAAGGTTGGGAACCGCTGCCTTAGAATCTGCGCTAACTACGTATGCTAAACCATCGGTTACACCTTACATTTAGCGGTGAGGCTCAGAGTACCTTTCCGAGACCTGAAGAAGAGCACCGTGTGGCTGGAAAGCTTGTCTCTATCACCTACAGAAATTAGTTCAATAAAAGATATTACCTCCCCCACCTTGTCTCTCTAATATCCTGGGGCCAACACAGCTACAACTACACTGCACACAAAAAATTTAGTGAAATTCACAAAACACCGTGGAACCCTAAATAAGTTTCAACAGGATTCGATATGCAAGTGGAAAGACACTAAAATTGTACTAGGAGCAATAGTGATGCATTGGTTGGGAGCTGGCAGAGCCGTCCCATCCATATGACAGTTCGGGGCAGCTGCCCCAGGCCCTGTGCTTTGGGGGGCCCCCTGGCAGCTGCCTCAACCATCCTATGGGCAGGGCCCAGAGTGTCCTGGAGGATGAACTGGGGAACCTGATGCAGGGCAGCAATAGGAGTTGCCCTCACCTTACCACGGTGCTCCCACTACCTGCTCTGCTACCCCCTGCCGCACATCTTCTGGCCAGCTGTGCTTGGCTTCACCACAGCAGCAGGAAGCTGAGCGGCCCCAGCCCTGGAGTGCTCCACTTCCCACCACTGCAGTGAAGCGGAGTGCAGCGGGCTGGGAGGGGGCAGCAGGATAGAGTGGAGTTGGCTGCTGGGTCTCTGTGTCTCTCACCACTGTGGTAAGTGCAGGAGGGGAAGCAACCCCTGCTGCTGCCCTGTGCCTGCCCCCCGCCTCCCCCCAGTAATCACGCAGCTCACATTGCTCGGGAGAGGGGCCTTTGGGCCAGGGGGCGGAGCGGGGGTGGGAAGGGGTGGAGCAAAAGTGGGACAGGATGGGGCATGCAGCAGTGGTGGTCGCCCTGAGCTCCGCACCTGACTAAGGACGGCTCTGGGAGCAGGATTAGGTGACCTGAGGGCCATGGCACAGGGCAGCAACAGGGGTTCTTCTCTAGCTGGATCCTATGGGACAGATCTTCAGCTGGTGTAACTCGGCACTGGCTCCAATGTACACCAATGGTCTGGGCTAATATGCACAGAGAAACAGTAGCCAGATGTAGATTTACAAGACATTGGGCATAACATCCAACTAGCCACCACTTCCAGGCCTTTGGGTCGTTGCCAAAACAAAGAACTAAACAGAAATTACTCAGTGTCACAAAACTATTCAGGACCAAGCTCTCAGACTCGGCTAAATGCCAGTTGTTGTCTAGGTTCTCCTGCAAACGCAGGTTTCTTATATGTCCTTCAGCTCCACGAGCAGGAGAGTCTAATAAGATGCCTCCTTCTTTCCTGCTTTGCACCTTGTAGCATCTTTTTTTACATGTGTTGAAAGCGAGTGGAAAACACAACTGTTCGGGTTCGGTAGGCAGAGGGCAAGCCAACCCTACCAGTTTAGTGCATCAAGCAGAGCAAAGCTCCGTGGTGTCACAAAGTAGTTTGCGTTTGCCAAAAGTGAATCACTTAGATCGTCATTC